TGGATATAACTCCAAAGTATAACTTGTATATAACCCCTTGCTTTTGATTCTAACAATGATTGAATAGAAAAGAATTACTCATTCTTTCTATTTTTTAAGAATGAGTAATTCTTCCCTGTTAGCGGGTAACGGGAATCAAACCCGTATCACGTGGATATAACTCCAAAGTATGACTAAGCAAAATCCCAAAATCCTGAAGTGGGTTTTTGGGAGACCCCGAATACACACATGAACAAGGTTACCGGGCCAAACGTTCAGAGGTCCCCGACCGGACCCCGAACGTTCGATCGTTCGGGGACCCGTTCGGGGCCCGTCTCTAAAGGGGTTCGGGGCCCGTCTCTAAAGGGGTTCGAGCCCCACCAAACCCCATTTGGGGCCCATAATTTTTTATTTTATTTTATCTTAGGCTACCAGCCGGGCCGCCCGGGTCACCTTGTTTTCCAGGCCGTGCAAGGGCCAAGGAAGGTCCCAACAAAAAAAAAAAAAAAAAAAAAAAACTATGTTATGCAAAGAAATAAATTGAACAACTTTTTGCCTCAAGGTAACATTGGAATTTTTACCAAACTTAAAATAGAAAATTAAAAAAAAAAATTATTTTATTTTTTATGTTTATTTCTTTTTTGGTCCGGTTGGCCAAGTGGACCCGGGCTACTCTAGTAGCCTAGGTTTTTAGCTTACTTCCTGGCGCACCTATCCCTAAAATATGACCAATTAAAATCCCAAAATCCTGAAGTGGTTTTCCGATAACAAAATCCCGAATACACACATGGATATAACCCCAAAATATAACTAAGTATCGACGTGGGTTTCGGTAATGAAATCCCGAATACACATGCGGACATAACCTCAAAATATAATCAAGTAAATCTTGAAATCTCAAAGTGGGTTTTCGGTAAGGAAAACCCGAATGCACGAGTGGATGTAACTCAAAAACATGACCAAGTAAAATCCCGAAAACCCATCCCGAAATCCCGAAGTGGGTTTTCGGTAATGAAATCTCAAATACGCACGCGGATATAACCTCCAAATATTAGTAAGTAAATCCTGAAATCCCGAAGTAGGTTTTTAGTAATGAAATCCCCAATGCACACGTGGGTATAACCTCAAAATATGACTAAATAAATATCGAAATCCTGAAGTGGGCTTTCGACAACGATATCTTAAATGCATGGGTGGATATAACTCAAAAATATGTAAAATCCCGAAATCCCGAATTAGGTTTTCGGTGCCAGAACCCCCAGAATGACTATGCTACACCTGTACCATAAGTTTTCATGGTTGCCCATAACTTGGAATGATATTTCGGCCTAAAAAAACCGTGAATATGCAAAGTTGCAAACGTGGTTCCGACTTCACCAACAGAAATAACAAATTCGCTAACGTTTTGCTAACAGGCTTTGCTATATAATTTGGTGTATTTTCGGGATCCATTGGAGTGTCAGACTCTGGTTGGTTGCTGAACTTTACCTTACACCACTTTTGAGGTCTTTCCTTTCCTCTTGTAGGGAAAAAGACCCAATGTTCTAAGTTTCTTTCAACTTGGTACCCTCCATACAATGTAAGGTGGGAACATAGATGGACGATTGGGAAGCCATCTCCTTCAGGGTAGTAATTTTGCAGTGTGGAAGGCGAGATAGGTCTTGAGATGTGGGGGAACATTAACGAGATAGGACAATCCATCCTTTTATTTTTCTTTTTGCTTACCAAAAACAGGCCCACTTGGACCCGACTCCATATCCATTTTTTTATTGGGTAAAGTAAATGATTAGAGGCCTCGTGGGTGAAACACCGTCGACCTATTCTCAAACTTCAAATACATAAGATTTTGGGGTTGTTTGAGCGAACCCCAAGGATCAATAAAAGCTCCTAGTGGGCCATTTTTGGTAAGCAGAACTGGCGATGCGGGATGAACCGAAAGTCGAGCTACRGTGCCAAACTGCGCGCTAACCCAGACACCATAAAGGATGTTGATTGATACAAACAGCAGGACGGTGGTCATGAAAGTCAAACATGGAGTGTGTAACAACTTACCACTGGCAAGTCAGAATATACATAACGACCCACTCTTGACGCTTCCCCACATTACAGTCTGGGCAGCCCAGACAACATTGATTACTTCCCAAAGACGGATTAATTGTCAGCGAGCCCGCACGTAAACCAGATCCCCTCCCCTGGCAGCTCTACCCCCCCGGGCTGAAACCCCCTGCAAGACCACTGTTCCATGCATTTTTGCCTTTCTAGAAATTGTAGAAGAGAAACTTAAGAAGGGATTTTTAGGAACTGCAAGTTTTAAAACTAGTTGGTATAGCTTCACTACTTCCAATGAGAGCAACAAAGGTAGCAATGTCAGTTGTTCTAGGAATCCTGATACCAAGCAAATCTGACGGTCTTGGCAAGTTGGAGACTCGGAGGATTTCAAGAACGAAACGCTTTAAGCGATCAATGTCGCCCAGGGGGGCTTTAGTCTTAACAGAAGGAAGGGTGGAGTATGAGATGTTGTGTTTTGCTTTGACAAGTCGGTCAAAAAGAAACCACACTGACGCTACCCAGAATGGATATGGAGCCAGGTCATTAGGTCTTGTTTCTTGTGGGAAAAAAATAAGAATAGAGACAGAAGGCATATCTAAAGGTTGTTACCATGGTTGCGGCACACCAGTCTGCAGTGCGGTACGCGCTGGTGCGCAGTGCGCTGTGCGCGCACTGCTCGCACTGCAGGGGGTGCACCAGGTGCGCGGAAAAAGACAAAAAAAAACTATATATACGCCCCCGAGAGAGACACAGAGAGAGAGAGAGAGGGGGGGGGAGAGAGAGAGAGAGAGAGAGAGAGAGAGAGAGAGAGAGAGAGAGAGANAGAGAGAGAGAGAGAGAGAGAGAGAGAGAGAGAGAGAGAGAGAGAGAGAGACCAAAGCGCCCCCTTCACGTCAATTCAAGGGCCCCTGCAGGTAACTCGAATGGCTCCTACAATGTATGTGGACATTGTGGAGTCATTGAGGACCAATGCTTCAACGAGCAGGATGGCTGCGTCATATGTGGAAGAGGCGGGAGCAAACCACCAATGTATGCTGTGGGTTCGCGTTCAAGTCTGTAGCTCGGCAGTTATGGGTCACCAAGTCAGCTAGACCCTGTTCGTGTCTCCACGTGATTCTCAGGGCCTTGCTCCACCACTCACCAAATGTATAACATTAGAATGAATCTTCTGCTAAAACATGGAACCATACATCGCCATATGCTATGTCTTTTGTGCATGTGGTGAGTAGTGGAGCGAGGCCCCTTGGGCCACTATACGTATTCATAAGAAAACAACACAAAAAAAAACGAGAGAGCTACATGCATCTTCATCCTAATCCATAACTGCCGACATGCAGACCCGAATGCCAATCTTCAGCATATATTGGTGGTCGGCTGGCCTTACAAAACATATCTCGTGACTTCTGCGAAGCACTGTGGGGCAGGTCGCTATTGGGCAATTACACCCTTCTCGCGAATTTTCCACCACTGTGTGGGATTTGCAGAAGGGAGGGGGAAGGCCAGATTCCACACCCGCCTAAAAAAAAATAAATGGAATGAGCCATATTTTCATGATCTGCCATTTCAGATGTTTTGGGGGAGGGGCCTGCAGAATTCGAAATTCGGCAGCCCTTGCCTAAAAAAAAAATTCGGGCACGGGCCCCTGGCCGGTTTTCCGAACTCGCATGGCAAGTCGAACATTTTTTCCGAACTCGCACGGCAAGTTAATTTTTCCGGTGCAGTGCGGGGTGCGGTGCGCGTGGTGTGCAACACGTGCGCGAATCCGCACACCGAGGTGCACCACAACTATGGTTGTTACTAATTGTCCAAGATCATGCCTTTACGCGCACACGCCTTGTGACTGAATGGTACACAGTAGTACACACATATATGTTGATGCAAGTGTTGACAAACACATCACGAGTTCAAACCTGATGGATGCAACAAGGTTAGGGGCTACTTACCTTTCAAAACAAAAATGGAAAAAAAGAAAGAGAGACGACGCCTTTACACTGCTAACACACCTCAAACGCAGGCGGTATCATCACGCTCTGCATGCACACAAAATCTGTGGAAAATAATGGACACAGATGCTGGTTCCTGGGCAGCTCCAAGGTCAGAATGCCTGTCTGGTTTAGTGCCAAGTGAGCAACACATCCATCCACAGCAGTGCCCACTCATGCAAGGCAACACTTCAAAACTATGAATGCAATCCTGATTAGAACAGAGAACGGATGGTTAGGAGGAGGACGACCTGCTCAACCCTCACAGGCCAATAGCAACAAATTCAAGCAAAACCAGGATTGACCCTATGCTCCCTTACTTTCACTCACTCACACAAACACAGACAAGGCTGGAATGGCAATGCCTATACAATTGTGGTTGGTGTGCCTGTGTTCCTAGCATGTAGGAACCACGTAGCCTGTGACATTTGTCTACGCCATGCCTTTCGATGCAGCATCTGCAACAACGAGAATTGGATGTGATGCTTCCACAGTCCACACCCGAACTGGTCCTGTCTCACATACAAGGCTTGCCACGTTGATTGCGGTTGAGTGCGAGCTGTCCGCATCCCCGTGTGCCATAACGGTCCCCTTGCACGCTATGAGAGGAGGCAGAGTAAAGGGGAAGGTATACTCCCGTTCATTTTTCCTCAGATCTTCGGCTTATATTTTGTCTGTCCTCTTAATAATGCTCATTTGTAAGCATTTACTAGTAGCACACAAAGAGGAGGGAGAAAGGAAAGGGGTCGGGGGTGGTGTTCAATACGAAGCGAGGGGCGGGGGAGGGAGAAGGGGAAGAGGAGGGAGGTAGAGAGGGAAAGAACGAACTGAGGAAAGAAACTCCAGAGGGTTCTCAATACTCACTGCTGGAGCAGACTACTCAAGAATGGCATAAGAGGCCGATCAGTGTTTGGGTTGCGGGGGATTTTGAGTTGAGGAGCAGCCGTTGCCTATGGCAAGTAGCCACCTCCTAGGTGCTGATCAACGCACCTGTTTGGCAATTGATGACAAGTAGATAACATTTGCAATTTGAGGATGCTCCAGCAATTCTAGGAAGTCGAGAATGAAATCAACATCCGGTAGCTGGCATGCAGAACAGCCACACACAACAACGCCCACAAATTCAGTACAATCACACGTGACTGCATAACTTGAACCCAGTTCCAATGTCTGACCGATCTTTACTGGATCATACTGGACCAAAAACTTCCTACTCAAATCCATGCATCAGACACAGGAGCCTGAACTATTGGAGATAACTTAGATAAGTCATGGTGACTCAAATTTCTGGCCAAATTTCCTTCCAATAGATCTAATCATTGAAAGTCAATCTTCCATTGCTATGACTTGCTAGCCAAATCGCAAGTGGTCTGATGCTCCCCAGAACAGACTGGGACTGAGACTATAAGGTCTTGTTTTGTACGGCCAGCGGCCTAGCTCAGTTGGTAGAGCACGGAAGCTGCATTTAGGAGGTCGTGAGTTTAATTCCTCACACCTTCCATTTCGAACCGGGAAACCCCACGGCCTCCTAAAGGCATGCTGAGGGTTCACCAGCTGAGATAGACAGCTTGCCCCTCCTGGTTGGTTGGTGGAGAATGCCATTGTCCCTTCCATCTGTTGCTAGGGGGGTTAGGTTCAACCCTGAGGGGATAGGCTCAACCCTGAGGGGATAGGCTCAACCCTGAGGGGATAGACTCAACCCATACCTTGGTGTAGCTTGAACTTAGCAGGTAGATTTAAGTGCGATAACACTTAGTGTACGTTGCTTCTCCTGCATAGATATGATCTGTTGTCCGTAGGTGGCTCAGTTCGTTATCTGTAAGGAGTTGGTCATTACTCCAGGATAAGCTACATCCTGCCTTGTCGGGCTTGTGGGTAGGGCATAGATATGGGTAGCTAGGGTGAGGCAAAAAAGCAGTGTCGAGAGAAGAAAATAGAGTGCAGTTAAAGCAGCAGTGCATGCCAGCTATCGGCTGTGGGCCCCTTTCAGAGGCCGCCCACCGCCGATTCATTTTATCTACGGCGCTCGGCCTCCTAAATTTTCGGAGAGGCTCAAAGCAGGTTCTCCAGTTGCCTGGGGCCATGTACTGGTGGTTTAAACAATACAACTGTCCCCCATATGAGGAGAAGACAGCTGTTTTTTTTTTTTTTTTTTTTTTTCCCTTCTTGGGCCAACTGCAAGGAACATGAGTATGGACGAAGCACAGAAATCCAGAATGCAAAATCACGCTGAAGTCCAAGTATTCAAAGCCAAAGCAGATAGCACATGGAACCGAGTAACCATCCCATTGAGAATGATACAGAAGAATCCTGAGTCAATGTCCATGCCCAACAGGGCAACACCAACAGCATAACCCAAATGTAGCTCTCTCTTGTGAATGGCGCCAGGCGCCCTATCTACTCTAC